CGCCCCCGCCCCGCGGGCGAGAATGACCGCCTCTCCTTCCCCCCCAGGCCGCCCAAGCTGACGAGCACCTGCGGATGGGAGAGCAGCGCGGGGCCGCCCTGGAGGCCCGGATCTCCGAGATGTCGGAGCTGCTGGGCGCCTACGAGAAGGCCAGGCAGAAGGACCAGGCTGCCCTCCAGAAGCTGAAGGACCGCCTCCTCCAGCTGGACCTCGAGAACAAGACCCTGGCCGTTGCCGCCTCTGGCCATGCCACTGTGGGCCTCGCCCTGGAGGACGGCCGCCTGGACGCCAACGTGCTGAGAGACAAGGTGGAGAAGCTGACGGAGCTGGCACGAGTGGCTGCCGAGCACGCGCCATCTCTCGTGGGGGACGGCGAGGCTATCTGCCCGGAGGAGCCCCCTAAGGACGCAGAGACTGGGGACGGCGAGAAGGCCACCCTGGCCTATTATCAACAGGAGCTCAAGCAGCTGAAGGAGGAGTTTGAGAGGTACAAGGTGAGGGCGCAGGTGGTCTTGAAAAACAAATCGGCCAAAGATGGGAACCTGGCCAGAGAGCTGGAGGAGAGCCAAGAGCAGCTGGTGGAGCTGAAGGAGAAATACGTTTCCCTTCGGCTGTCCTGCGAAGTGGAGGCCAAGCAGCACCAGGAGCAGCTGGAGGCCAAGAGGCGAGAAGCAGCTCTCCTCCAGCAGCTTCACCGCCAGGAGTTGGAGCGATGCCTGTCGGAGGGCCGGGAGAAGGCCCTGCGGCTGGAGGAGGAGATGCACAAGCAGCGTGACCGGGCCCTGGCCGTCCTGATGGAAAAGGACCAGGAACTGCAGCAACTGAGGGTCCTGTCCGTGCCCTTCGGGGTACAGGCTCCCAAAACGGCCACGGGGCCGGGTAATGGTGGCAGCGGCAGCGCCCACAGCAACAGTGAGGTGGGTGACGATGCTTTGGAGCACCTGACCCTGTCTCTCCCTGCCCCCAACGAGCCCACCTTCCTGCTGTACACAGAGCAGCTGGCTCGGAAGGAGGTGGAGATCGTGGCTCTGAAGAAGCAGAAGCACCAGCTGGAGATGGAGGTTCACCAGTTGCAGGAGAAGCTTATGGAAGAAGGAGAGAAACACCGAGAGGAGTTGTCTCTGCTCCAGGGCCACATTCAAAAGACTTTCAGGGACCGGAGCAGAGAGGGAGCTAACCTGGAATACCTCAAGAACATTTTCTACAGGTTCCTGACTTTGACAGATTTGCTGGCACGCCAGCAAACCCTGACGGCCATATTGACTATTTTGCATTTTAGCCCAGAAGAGAGACAGGCTGTTCTGAGCCATGTGGGCGGAAGCAGCAGCTGGTGGCTTTCGGGGAAGAGATGAACCCCCCCACCCCTGCTTGCTGGGGGTGGGGGGTGGGGAAAGTTCCTAATGAGGCTGGCTTCCCTATTCTGGCCTCAAAGCAAGCAGTAGCCATTCTCAGCCATTGACTGGGGAGGCCACAGGACCAGCCAAGACTCCAGCCTGAGTGAAATGCCTCCCGGGGGCTGCAGGGATTCCATTTGGGGTCTTTGTTCTTTTTAAAGGGCTCCATTCAGGAGTCTAGCCAGTGTTTGTTTCAATACTTGTGCCAAATGTGGACCGGGGCAATCCTCTGGACTCTCAAGCCTGCGGCTGAAGCCAGCCAATAAAGCATCAGCCATTGAAGCCTCTCCTGTGAGTGCCTGGGCTGGAGCCAGATCCCACCTTTGGGCGGAGCCTTGGGGGGTTCCTCCAGCACTGGTGTCGCCCTTGGGCCATGGAGATGCAGCAGTCCCTGGGGGGTGCTGGGCCAGAAAGTGCTAAGATTTGCCCCTCCTGGTCTTCATGCCTTCCCCCAGTCAAGGATTGGAAGGCAGGCCAAGGGCCCTGGTTCGCTCCTCTCCCTCCAATCAACATGGCCTCTCATCTGACAAGGGCAACTCTAGGTGGCCATACAGGGGTGGGGGAGACACGGCAGGGGACCTTCCTGACTCCCTTCACAGCTCAGAAAAGAGCAGCTGGGGTTTGTTGCTTGCCGTCCCTCCAGAGTCATCGGGCAGTTTCAGTTTGCCTGCCAGGTCTAAAACGCACTTTAGTGTCGCATGTGAAAGGATGGAGCACTACTGGCCACCTCGCAGCAGTTTTTGGCATGGGAACTTGGCCGTCATCTTAGCCTCTTGGAAATTAGGCCATTTATAGCATTAGCCCTTAGATTCACATACCGCTTCACAGTGCTTCATAGCCCTCTGAACAGGTTACAGAGTCGGCCTCTTGCCCCCAACAATCTGGGTCCTCATTTTACCAACCTTGGAAGGCTGAGTCAACCTTGAGCTGGTGAGGACTGAACTGCTGGCAGTTGGCAGAGTCAGCCTGCCATCCTGCATTCTAACCGCTGTGCCATGATGGCTAAAATGTGTGATTCCTTGGGGCAGGGCTTATGTAAACATAGTCATAGTAAACATTTTGTCCAGATGGGGTTAGGATTGCATGTCTTGCGTGCTTGGGTACGCAGACATGAAACGGTTTTCTGAAAAGGAACTGGGTGCAGGTTAGAGAAGCTGTGAGGTCAGAAGAGAGTCAGGCGCTCTCGTTGCTGGGAATCTTGACCAAGAACTGAATAGCTCGTGTTGTGAGGGATTCTCTCCCTGTGTTTCCGTCTCGGAAGCTCCTTCACTGGGGTGCATCACCCATCGCATACCTCCAGGGTAAACCTTTGCAGAGGAGCTGCTATGGTCTGCCCCCTCCCTTTCAAAGGCCAACCAGCTGGCGGCTGTTAGGGTACCTGAGCAGGTCAATTCTGAAGGTGCTGCCTGGCCTCTTGGCCGGCGCTTGTCCGCTCCTGTGGCAGCAGAGAACCGTGGGCTACAGTTGCCGTTTTGTGCTCCTTTCTTTCACGTTTTGGCTCCCGGTGCAGAAGGCTTAGCCATCCCTCCTTCCGCCTGCCTCTCTGGGGAGGGGAGGTAGAGGGCCCCAGGTGAGAGGCCCAGAGCAGCTGCAGCTTATTGGGTTCCTTAGAGTTCTGCCATCTGGACAGCCAGAATATGGCATGTTTATAGGTCTGCGGAGCGTGTTTTTTTCATTCTTTCCGCGCCAGCAGTTTTGGAAAGAAACTGGAAACAGGTTTGGATTTCTCCGTCCAGCCATGCAAAAAGAGAAAGGAAAGGGACTGGGCCTGCAGCGAGGGAGAAGCTTTGGAGTGGGGTGGGGATGAGTTGGAAAATCAGTTACAGGCTGTGGAAGGAGAACAGAAGCGAGCCCCCAGGGCACCCCTGTGGGCTTGGCAGCGGCCTGGAAGGCCTTTGACCCCTCTATTTTAAGCCCAATCCCATGATCTCCAGTGGAGCTCGGAGGAGGTGGGGAACAATCCAGAATCCCTGCTCTGCCTGCCTGTCCCTCTGCTCTCCCACTACCAGGCAGAGGCTTCCAGCGTGAAATCCCCCTGGGAGCAGATTGGGCAGCCATTCCCAATGCTGCAGGCTGCCCTGTTCTCATCCCTCCCCATCCTCCCCCCCATCCTCCTCCAGTGGAGCTGCTGCTAACCCAGGACTGCCACTCTGCTGGTCGGCCTGTCTGGAGGGAGCTTGCCACAGGCGGCCTAGTGCTTTAGAAACGGAGAGGGGTGACTTGGGGAAGGGGCCTCCTGGCTCCTTGAGGGAGGAGGAGGAGGAGGAGGGTTGGGGCTAACTCTGAGGCTAACTCTGCCCCGACCTTCTTCACTTCACGGATCTCCGGCTCCTGAGCGGCAGGGACCCTTCTGGTTGGCTCAGTTCATGCGAAGTATTTTCCTTAAGTCGCTAGTTTGCTCCACACTGGCCGAAATGCCTGGCATGAATGGTCCTGTGAGAGACTGGACGGTTGGCAGGCTCCCCTTTCGCCCGTGGTGCTCAGTGGCCAAATGCGGGCACCGTCTCGCTCTCCCCCACCTCCCATCGGGCGGCTTTTTAGCCGAGGGACAGCTGAGCCCTGAGGGTGGGCTGAGCTGCAGCCTGAGTCCCGGCAGTCACTTGCCAGGCAGGTTCTCCTTCATGGGGCCAAGCCCTGCCCAGGAGGCTGTGCAGCAGAGGTCCGGCCAGGGGAGGTTGAGGAGCCAGGGGCTCAGCAGGGCAAGGGAGCCGGAGGCTGCCCCCTCCCGCAGGGAAGACCTGGGAAGGGCGCCCCTCCCCTTGCGTTGGCTCAGGGCTGCAGCCAGGTGAAGCCTCAGGCAAGGGGAGTGGCCTCAGATGCCCTTGGGGCAGCCTCCAGCCAGGTCCCCTTGCGCAAAACAGCTCAGCTGAGAGGGCGGGCCCAAGGTGGGGGACGGGGCGAGGTCAGTAGCCGAAGCTGCAGCAACAGCAGCCGTCCCCATGGCTGAGGAAAGCAAGTGGGGCTCGCCCCTGCCAGCCGACAAGGTGCGCCCTCCGGGGAGGCAGTGGTTTGGGGGAGGGCAGAGATCACATCGTTTGCCTAACCTGGATGCGGCTGGCCTGGCAAAAGGTAGAGTTTGGGGCCGGGCTAGGCTCCCTCCCTCCCTCCGTGTCTGGCCTTGCACAGCAGTCCGTGGGAACGCAGAGGCTGCACTGTAGGTGGTGTGGAGACCACCAAGTGGACTGTTCCCAAAATGGCTGCCAATTCCAGGTACCCAGCCCAGCTTGGAGACTGGTGGGGCCTCCCAGTCCAGCCCTAAGAACAGTGGATCTGCGCATGTAGGATGTCTGGGGTGCAGGTTACTCAATGCCACCCCCACCCACCCCCCGGAGCTGAATGGGGAGCCAGGCTGGCCTAGGCAGGGTGAGCCAGGGCACCCCTCACCTCGCTGTGGGCAGGCGGAGCTCCTCCCTTTCATTCACATAGCCAGGTTTCTCAGGCCAGGTGGCTGCAAGTCCTGGGCACTCGCCCTGTAGTTCCCTCCCTTTGGCTGCCAAGGTCAGCCAGGAGCCCACATCTGCCCTGGCACTGCACCGGGGGGGGGGGAGGCAGTTCTTCCAGGCCCACTGCTGGCTTTCCAGGGCAGCCAGCTGGCCTTCTTGCTGGTTCGCTCTGCCCGGGAGCCACGTCTCCAAAGCTGCCACTGCCGGCCGTGCCCTGAACTCCAGCCCCTCCAAAAGAACCCAGGACAATAAGAGCCAGGCAGCCGTGGGCTTCGGCCTCGGAAACAAGAGGGGCCTGATTGCAGATCAGCTTGGATTTTGTCAGCAACAAATTTTTGCAAACTAACCTGAATTTTCTTTTTCTTTTTTTAACTGGCTAACTGCCTTGTAGAGTATCAGAGTAGCCTATCAAAGTGTTTAGTAAAGTATCCCATGACATGCCGCTTTAGCCAGCCGATGAAGTGTGCTGGCCATTAAGCAGAAAGCGTTGCGGACTCCCCCTTTGGAAAAGGCACCAGGGTTTGGATCTTCTCGGAGGAAAGGGCGGTGAAATGCTTTCTAGAATTGAGTGAGATAGCGAGCACCCTAAAATACAATGCGCAACGGGACATCAGCAGGTGGGAGATACTAACCTAAGGCCAGATTTAGTTGAGAAAATGCACAATTCTTCAGAAACAATCCAATGCGCAGGTGAGGGAAACGGGGGGGTGGGCATTTGGAGTGACAGTAAATCACAAGCCGTGAATTGGCAGCGTGATGTGGTTGCAATTCTAGGTGGCACCTTCATCTTTCTGCTTCTCTAGATCCTGGTCTTGGTGTGGATCTACCTGGTGACCCTCTCCCTCAGGTGAGCAGAGGGGCTAGCTAAGCTTCCGTGCCGGACTCCCAGGGCACAGGGGAGCCTCGCTCGCTTCCCCATCTCCAGCAGCCTCAGGAACCCGGGTGACTCTAAACCACTGGGTCTGAACCTGGTCTTGCCCTTCCTTCTGTGGGGACGCACGGGACAAAGGAGCTCTGGGGCAGGGTGGAAATTCCCCACTCTGGCTCCCCTGCAAAGGAGGCTGGGGGCCCATGCCTGACCCTAACCCTAGCATGGGCTTCCTTGTGGGCCTGCTGGGGGGGGGGGAGGGCAGGGTGTAAGGTCCAAGGCTTGGGCTGCAGGGCAGTTGGGGGAAGGGTAGCAGGGGTCTTTGGCATCATTTGTGGGGGATTTCCCCCCCCCCCCCCGGGGGCGGCGGCAGGGGTACGGGCCCGCCCCGGGGGGGGGGGGGGGGACGGGACGAGGGAGGCCCCTGTTCTCAGACAACGGGTGCTGAATGGGCGGGGCAGGGGGGGAAATCCTGGGACTTCTTCCTGCTCCCAATGCAAACTTGGCTCGGGGCAGGCAGAGGAGGGAGGGAAAAGCCCACCAGCCCTGCGGTGGGGGGGGGGCACTTGATCCTGCCGGGTTTCTCTTTCAGCCTGCTGGGCAGTGCCTCCATTCTGGCCATGGTCGTCCGCCGAAGACAATGCTGCTGTGACCAGGTCTGATGTTTGGCAACCTGCTTTATAGTTCACTACTCCTCTGGGTTTCCACAAGGCCCTGAATTATTATAACACAAGCTGTGCAAGGTTTAACACACACACATACCAACTGTACACTCTGACGTCTGAAAGTTTGGCAGGGGGTCCCTGATGCCGAGATGCCAATCCCTGCCGTGGGCTTGGTTGATGCACCCCCGAAGGAAGCCGCCTGTCCCTGAGGGCCGCTGCCAAGGGCAGAGTGCGGTGCAACCTGTTTTCCCTTTGCAGCCTTTCTATCTTGCTGCTTCATTTGCACAGCTCTGAGGCTGTGCGGTAAAACACCATAAACAACTGAAAATGGGGGTCAAAGAACTGTGA